GCAGCAGCTGCGAAAAAAGTCAACACTGTTTAAGGCTGCATAAAAAGAGGAATAGAATCAAGATCATGTGACGTGTTAATACCACTTTGTAAGGCCTTGGTAAGGCCACACTTGGAATACTGCACTCAGTTTTGGTCGCCATGATGTTTAAAAATATGTGGAGACTCTAGAAAGAGTGCAGAGAAGAGCAACAAAGATGATTAGGGGACTGGAGGATAAAACATATGAGGAAGGTTGCAGGAACTGGGTATGTCTAGTTTAATGAAAAGAAGGACTAGGGGGACATGATAGGAGTGTTCCAATATCTCAGGGGTTTCCACAAAGAAGAGGAAGTCAAACTATTCTCCAAAGCACCTGAGGGCAGAACAAGAAGCAATAGGTGGAAACTAATCAATGAGAGAAGCAACTTAGAACTGAGGAGAAATTTCCTGACAGTTAGAACAATTAATCAGGGGAACAGCTTGCCTCCAGAAATTGTGAATGCCCCAACACTGGAAGTCTTTAAGAAGATGTTGGATAGCCATTTGTCTGAAATGGTGGGGGGTTTCCTGCCTAGCCAGGGGGTTGGACTAGAAGACCTCCATGGTCCCTTCCAACTCTGCTATTGTATTGTATTATTGTATTGTATTATTCCTTCCTTTAAATAGCATTCAGACAGAAGTTCCAAGGTTGATCGGTGGCTTCTAATTCTGGAAAAGCATTTTCTATGGTGATCTTCAGGTCTGTGAAAGAAATAACACCTAAACATGCCATCATGTCTCAAAGGGCTGGGTGAGAAAGGACACCAGGCTGCATCCAAGCACTAGCAAGACCTTTTTGACAGGAACCCCAGCTGGGGAAACAGAGATGGTCCAGCTGGAATCCTGGCCTTGGGTGCAGAATTTAATTCAATGCTTTTAAGCCCTCTCCCAAACTTTGGGCTGCCGTTGTCTGCCTGCTTGGCATCAAGCATGGAATTTTTTCTTGCAATTTGCCTGAAAAGATTCTCTGAGCAGGAATTGTATGTTTCCTCTGCCATTTGGTTGTTTTGGGTGGAAGGAACATTAGAAGACAAAAACTGCCTTCACAACATAGCCCTTTATTCATTAGGGGAATGGACTGTGGTTGAGGCTTAATTGCTTGTTAACAATGTTTCACACTTATCCTGTTGCTTTTCATTTAGGAAGGAGTCTGATCAAAGGGTGCCTTGAGCATTTTGCTATGAAACCTGCAATTGGCCTTTTTGGCAAAGACTGTTTGCTGTTCTCCAGGGCATATTTAGAAATCAAACCCACTAGGGTCTGACGTGCTAATAGGCTGAAAGAAAGACTGTGCTGCAGAGGTAATTGCTGAGATGCCAGCAATATTTTGCTGAAATCGCTACTTTTCCACAATTATGTTTTATGTTTTTGAAGCTAACTTTAATCCCAGTCTCTCCTTTTACACCAAATACTTCCTGGTAGATTTCAGAGAGACTTTGGTGTTACTGTTGTTTTCACCCAGAGAAAGGACAAAAGCCCAGCCTGAAGACCTCACAACTTCTGCATCTTTAGGAAGGGAAGAAGGCAGTGGTGAAATCTAAAACTTTTCCCTACCAGTTCTGTGGACGTGGCTTGGTGGGCATGGCATTGGCAGTCTTGTGACTGGGTGGGCCTGGCCAAGTCAACGTCACTTCTTTGCCCTTATGAACTACAAAAAGAAAATATACCAATTATTTCGTGCATTTAATACTTAAATAAGAATAATGAAGAATACTTATGTAAGAATACTTACGTAAGAGCAATAAAAGTGTCTTCGATTCACCAATGATAATAATTGCCTACAAAAAGAAGATATACCATGATATACAAATTTAACCATTTAATACTTAAATAAGAATAAAAGAAGTACACAAAACAATAAAAGAGGTATGCAAATACTTACATAAAAGTGTTAGTTATCTTTCACTTTAAGATGTTTTACACATCAATTTCTCATTGGCGCTCTCCTCACTTCCACTTTTCTTGATCTTGAGCCTGGGATCATCAGCTGAGCAATAGTGTTCTTGTAACCACTTTCTCACTGCAGGAACAAGGTCCCATTTTGGAAGAGGTAGGCCAGTAATATTGATGGTCATGAGGTTGGTTAAATTAGAAATGGTAAGGCGACTTCTGCTCTCTGAACATATGAAGTTCATTTTCTAAAAACCCCTTTCTGCTTCTGTAATTGTTCTGACAATGCCTTTTGCTTTTTTAATACTGTCAGGAATTGCATAGTTCTTCAAATATTTTAACACATTATCAAAAAAATCTCTGTGGTTGTTGATGTTAATGTTGTAATTGAAAATATCACAAAATTACCCAGTTGTACCTCAGCTGCTGTCCATGGAACTACTATTTCTGAAAAATTCCAGTACTCTTGCACCAAAAATGTAGAAATTGTAATTTATTTGTGGTGTCTTGCAATTGGCTACCTGTTTTTAAATGTTCACAGTCCATTAGACTGTGGTGAAGATGGACCTTGCGGGTCAAGTGGGCTTGTTGTTAANTCACAACAAGTCACTAAATGAACTGTTGTAAGTTAAGGACTACCTGTACTATTTCTGACCTCACCACTTTAATGAGGAAAGAACAGTATGGTTTTAAAATCATGCACAGGACAACAACATAAAGAAAACCAAGCAGGAAGGTACTTGGCGTAAGAAATGCTACTTATGGAACAATGACAAACAATAAATGCGAACAGTTGTTAGAAAGATTGTTTGCCCTAAGTACAAGAAAGAGAATGAGTTATTAAAGTGAAGGTGATACAAGAAACGATAAACTAATCAACAATTCCAACTGCACAAGCTTCTGTTTTCTACCAGTTCCTTGATTTCATCTACTATTGTACACCTGTTTTATTTTCTTATTTGTCCTATTTTGGATAAAAAACAACAATATTTGGCAGTGGACGTTTTTGAGACAACAGAAGCATGGAAAATTTATTGGGTGAACTTGAACACAATACAGCTAGTCTAAATTACATTCCATTAAATATTGTTTGAAATGTGATTGGCCTCAAACCTGCTGGCCTTTAAAAAGGCCCTAAAAACTGTTCTCCACTCAAGTGTTAGCCAGTTGTCCCTAAACAAATAGTAATTGTGATTTCCAATATTTTATTTTGCTATGATTTATGATGTTATCATTTTCCTTTGTATTTGGGGTTTTAAGCCTATGTTATCTATTCAGAATCATCTGGCAGCCATTGAATTAATGAACAAATAAATGAATAAGTCTGACCCATAAAGCATTAATTTACACAGCACAATCCTCATTTGCTGTTTACAAAATTGAAGGGGGGAAAACCCGACATCTGTATAAAAGTGGACCTCTTGTTTCTTTTTAAAATAGGAACGCCGATAAATAACTGGAAGATATCCAGACTTGACTTATCAGGATTTGTCATCAATTCTTCGGGATTTAGCATTTCAAATAATCTTACTTTTGACGGTAGCAGTCCGAGTGCAGTTGTATAGGATAGCCAGTTCTCCAAACACCTTCCCAGGCCCCATGGTGCACAGCTTTACTCCTTCTTTCGTAACCTCAACCTTTCCATCTGTTGAAAAAAAACAACAGAGATTAATATCACAAGATTATCAGATTTTCCATATGTTTTTTCTTTATCGTATTCTCTAAATACAAGTAAAGAGACGTCATAGAAGTTAAGCATTTCAGTGCTGAAGCACTACTGTATTTAAGAGGTGTACCATCCATATTACCCTGTTTCCCTGAAAATAAGACCTCCCTGGATAATAAGCCCAATCAGGCTTTTGAGCACATGCGCTAAAATGAGCCCTCCCCCTTAAATAAGCCTTCCCCAAAAATATTGCAACACAGCAGCAGCCATGAGGCGACCATGATTGCCGCNCAGCATTTTGGAAGCTGAAGTCAACATATCTGAAAGACAAGTAATTTGGGGACGGTGAATTTTGCTTCTAGTTTATGTACATGTTCATTGAAGTGTCTGAATACTATACTAAGAAATTACATCGTGAAGAGCAGAGGTGTCAAACTCAAGGTCTGTGGGCTGGATCTGGTTCACGGGATGCTTAGATCTGTCCCATGGAGCCATCCTGGAAACAGCAAAGGACCGGCCTGCATCTGTTTTCTTTGGCAGAGGGTTGCAGGAGTCCATCCCAGCCAAAAATGGAGATTGGGAGCCGTTTTTACTGGCAGGCCACTTGGGCCACTACAGGTGCCCCCGACACAAGTGATGTCAAGCTGACCACCCCCTCACCCCAACCACACCCTCCCCGAGCTGGCCACAACCCCACCCAGCCACCCCCATCCAGATCCCCTGAGGTCAAACACAACCCTGATGCGGCTCTCAATGAAATTGAGTTTGACACCCCTGATGTAGAGCTAGATGTGGATGTAGATCCTTTGAAAAAGATGTTTCAGAATGCACAGGAGAACCTTCAAAGCTAATTTTTCAAATATATGTTTTTAGTTCAGATATATTTTTTATAATCTTAAGATTTTGCTTACAATGCACTTAACAGTGAGTTAATATAAAATAGCACAATAACTTACTGAACGGTATTTTCATTCCTATTGATCTGCGTGTGTTCTTGTTATCTCACTTTTATTTTATTTATTAAATTTCTATATCACCCATCTCCCCTACAAGGTGACTCTGTGTGACATTATTAGCATATATTTTGGGTGACACTATTAGCATATACTTTGTATTTTGTGCGTTATCATTGTGTAATTTATTTATTTGGAATTTATAATTTTACTTGCAAACTACTATGTTCAGTGAGTACAGTAAAGACTATTAATTCATTCATAGGCTGTACACTTTGTGAAGTACCTCTTCCACAGGATAAGTGCAGTTTTAATATAGTTCATTGTCTCTTATGTGAAAGATCTCTTCAACATACACATTCTCTTTTGTCTATCAAACTCACAGTGGTAGAAGAGACATTGAAGGGGGAGGGGGAGGGGAAGGAGGAGGAGAAGAAGAAGAAGAAGGAGGAGACATCCGGGGATGAGGTAAAAAACCAAAAGTATCCTTGGAGTACTTGGATGACAAATTTAAATGGTATATCCATATTTTCATTTTTTTATGTTACATGCTGATAGTAAGGTCTTATATGTGACAGGGGTCCCTTGTGAATTCTTTCAATTTCATATATTTCTGTTGAACATTGGAGAATGAGAAAATTTAATCTTGGGGAATTTCCATCTTGTTACGTGATAAAAGGCTTGATACAGCTCAGCCTCCTACAGGATTGCCATAGAAACACTTGAAAGTATTTTGTTCTTCTCAGAGAAACATCTCCAGCTCTTGAAAGGCAATTTATAGCTACTGATCTTGTCCCCAACACATTTCCTTTTGGTTTAGTCATGCTGCTATATCCACAGGAAGTTCTTTGCACTAGTAGCTTTGCTTTTCTGAACATGCTGTGCTGCAAAATATTGCAGTCTAATCTGCATTTAATTATTAAGAACAGACCAGCTGAACTCTGCCATAGACTTGGCTGAAACTTTAATGGAATACACAATAAAGGCCTGGACATTTGGCATTATAGCTTAGAAGGACACATAACCATAGCAACTCTATTCCTGGGGACCCCCAGTGGAAGGAATTGTCTCACAAAGCTTTTCTTTGAGATCAAATTGAAGAAGCCAGGTAGAATGGAAGAGAGACCATTCCCAAATGTATCCTTAGCACAGGGGTGTCAAACTCCTTGAGGTATCTTGTCCCCATCATGTCATAGTCACATGACATCATGACTTCCCCCTTGCTATCCCTTGCTATACCAGTAGTAGGTGTGGCCAGAGCATGAAGCATCTGGCCTGCTGGCCATGCATTTGACTCCCATGACCTAGCATTCCATTACAAAATAACTGCAAAAATACTATACAAAAGCTTCACCAACATTCTCCTCCTCCCCCCCCCACAAAAAAAATATTCTAAATCAATTATATTTTCAACTAGAAGAAAAAATGGCTAGAAAAAAATGGGATTTTTTTTCTTCAGCACCATTACAACTAGAGTTATTTTAAAGTTATTTTAAAATTATATTTCTGTATTGCTGAGCAACTATACCTCTCTGGAAGTTTTGTATTAGATGGCACTAATAATCCTCATTTCCATTTCTGTTAATGGAACAACCCTGGGAGCAATCTCTTATCATACTGCTGCAATGGTTAAATTAAGGTTGCAAATCACAGTGTGCTGAACAAGTAAAGAGCATCGTTTACTCAACAATTACTTTGGAATACCCAAGCTGGATTCAGACACTGGGTGGCAGATCCATCCTTGCATGTACGTAACTACTCATTCAGATGCAGAGTCTCAAAAGCAGTAAGAAATAACAGAATGATGATGTTAAATGAAACCAGATTCTGCAACAAACCCAAACTTTGCCTCCACATGTACAGTATAGCATCAGCAGCATCACACACAGACAACTTCTTCACACCCAAGATTAGAGTCATCTGCATGTGTTATCTTCCCCTAAGGTGATACAGGTAACCATCAGCCCATGATGGCACTCTAGAGTCTGTGCAAGTCAAATGAAGCAAACTTTGCACAAAATAATTGACACAAGTTTGAGATCAGGATTCAAATGAAGGATAATACAATATCACAGTATTTCTCCTTCCCGAGAACTACCATTATAGATCTTAAAGTAACTATTTTGGAAGAAAAGAAGTTCACCAGTACAATTAAGATGAAGTCAGAATACCTGAAAAAGATTTCAGGCAATCTCAGGAGGTCTTCACAAAAACAATTTTTTTACACATTGCAATTGTTATTTGATAAGGGATCTATCTTACGTGCACCCAGTCTTCACCCCCATACCCCTCGCATATCATCTCAGTTTAAACCTTGCAAACATTTAACCACTTCATGCATATTATGTAGTGATGATGCAAGTTTATGCCTTTTAATAAAATGTATGTGTTTGAAAAAAGGCTAACAGATTCCCAACTTTTGGCTACTAATAACTTATGAACACTATCTTCCTTCAATATTTACAATTCTGGATGTCCTAGCACATCCTAAAGAGCATTTGCCTGACCTTTAAATCAACCATGAAAGTATGTTTGATGTGATTATCGACATTTTGCTCCTTGAAATTCCTAGAGTGAATACACATGTCAAATAATAAACATTATATTAAGGCCATTTTGGAGTTTAACTTTCTAAAGGAAAACAAATCCTAAATATGCACGTGCAAAATTTAATAATGTGAGGCTCATTTTATGTAGTCAGTGCCTTTACCCAGTGAGTGTTATGCTTCCTAAGGGGCTTCATTTCCCTGACACAATACAGTTTTCAAGATATTTGAGCTGTTACAGCTCATTGTAAATGTTAAGAAGTGATGTAATATTTTGTAGATATTACAAACCAAAAATGTCTGTAGAGGACTTTAAGGAATTCTTCCATTTTACTATCTGAGTAAAGACTGTTACCTCATTTAAACACTAACTAAAGCAATAGTGGCGAATATCTGTAGCTCGGGTATAGGATGAGGGTGAAGGTCATTCTCCAAAGCTTGTGGGTTGACTTCCAAACATTTTTTTTTTCATTTCATTTTTTTTTTCATTTTATTGACATTTATAGGCCGCCCTTTTCCCTAAGGGGACTCAGGGCGGCTTACATTTCATAGGAGGGNCAACCCCGGACGCAGAAATTTGTGTCAAGGCAGTTGCTGAATATTAATCAACTCAGTGCAAAAGAGACATTTTTCCTTCCTTTAAAATAAAAAAATAGCAAATGGCCACTTGTGCTATTTACGTTGCTTGGACCTCACTGTTTCTAATTTGTGTCTTCCCCTGAACACACACACACACACACTCACACCACCACAAACACACACAACATGGATAAATACCCATTTGGAGGTCGGATGAATCTTACTCCCCCAAAAATTTTTTACATCTGCATCAATGTTAAGGTTCCCCCCCCCCCACCCCAAATTCTTGAAGGGAGAGGTTTGTTGAGGGGAAAGTTTAGCTTTCATGAGGTTTTGTGCAAACCCCAGAAACATTTTTGAGGTCAACAGCTTTGAATTTCTTTTTGTTTTTTTAAAAAAGCTTTAGTTGCTGAGTAGCTTAATCTGGCGAACCGAGTAATTAGAAATTTTGGCAGGATTCCTAACCGCATGAGGAGGAGAAGTTCTTAGGACTCCTTCTGTCCGGTTAAGAACATCCGTCTGGAGTAAGCCAAGAGAACACAGAATAACAGGGTAGAAAGGGACCTTGGAGGTCTTCTAGTCCAACCCCGCCTTGCAGGAGATCCTATGTGTCAGGGTTCCAAATAGCATCCAAAATTAAATCAGAGTCCAAGGCAAAGGTTTCCTCAAAGTTCCAATATTGGTACATCTGGGAAAACCTGAATCTGAAAGCTTCCCAGTTGAAACTTTAACTGGGTGGGAACTTTCTTGCTCCCACACCCACAAGCCCATCCCATGGTCCAATCATCCACTGCCACGAAGACAGATTCCTCCCAGTCAGGTGCAGAGTCAAAGGATGACCTTGGCTTTCCAGAAAGAATGTTGTTATAGCTACATATCATCTAACTCCGTACAATCCCTCCCTCCCATTTCCCCACCATAGAAAATGCATAGTAGAATAATGGAAAGTGTGGCAGGCCAAAGATCCAAAAGAAAAGATGACTTGCGGTTGTGTCAGCACCTGACACCTATACAGTTCAGGTGCAAACCACAGAACCATTTTTGAGGTCAACAGCTGTG